AAGAATGTAGAAAGCCATGGCCATTGCTCCACCATCTATGATGGCAGTGGCAACAATGGTAATAATAATAGAAATGAACATATGAAACAATAGATTTTTCAAAATTTCAAGCAAAAATTATCTAAAATTTTCAATTACAGCATCATAAAACTTAAAATACAAACTATAAATTAAACTCAAATATAATCATAAAAAAAACTAAAAAAACACATAAATAAACAAAATAGTCAAACAAAAATTACATAACAATATATCAAATTTAACCAAAATAAAAATCAAATAAAAAGTAAATCAAAACAGGGACAATTGAAAAGGCAAAGCTAAATTTTCTTTTAAAAAAGGAAAAGAGTGAAGTGAATATAGGGTAAAGAAAAGAAAGGGAATGGAAATGGAAAAGAGAACGGAAAAAGGAAAGGAACCACTGACAACCATAGGTTTGAACGCCAATAGGATGGCATTAATATATTGAGGAGTGAAAAAGGTGGTACGAAGAAGTGAAGGAAAAAAAAGGAGCAATCATCAATAAAATCAATGTGAGTGATGGTACAAGTGACTGATAGCCAAAATAAAACAAATGTTGAGGAGAGAATGAGTTGCTATTAGTTGATGTTGATAAAAGAGAAATATTACAAAAATGGTTTTATAGCTAGGGTTTAGGATTAGGATTTTATGAGTTGGCCTAAATAATGTAATTTTGATAATATGAGAAACACAAAGGAAAAAAATAAATAGTAGTGAGATGGTTAGCCTATATTAAGGCCAATTGCACTCTTGGCCCATAAGATTTTGGGTCTAACTCAAAGTTTGAGATATAATTTTTGTTTATTTTTAAAATTTTAATTATGTTCATGATTTAAACTTATAAGATTATTTCAAATAATATATATGAAAATAAAATACATAAATTAAAAAATATGTTAACTGAATAAAAGATAATGTTTTTGACAAAATAGTGATTTAAAGGTTCAATTCTTTTCCAAAGACAATAATGAAGATAAATGAGTACAAGTTGAGAGATAAAGCACAAAGATTTATGGAGGTTTGTGCCTTTTTTTAAAGACACTTGCATCCTTTTCTTTACTTATTGTAGCCAAGTGCAGTTCATAATTGGAAAAATTCTCTTAGAAATTACAATCCATATCTTTCAAGGTTAAGATAGAGACTCCCTATTCTAAGATTTTATCCAATCCTTTTTATAATATCTTATAAGAGAATACTTCACTCAATAACCCAAAAATCCCCTTTGATCATGAAATAATTTGCAAAATATCTCAAAGGTTAAGTGTTTAAGTGTTTGCCTAATGAACTACAAAGAATGCTAAATAAATAACAAATATATTTTAGATACAAGAATTGGAAGAATTAAAACTTTAAAAGCTCATTTGATGCTTTTGATTTTCCTAAAGGATGAATTGAATGCTCTTAGGGTGTTGTTTCTTCACTTCATGGGTGTTAGAAAGAATCTTTTTTTATAGTTGAAGTAAGTTTGGAGTTGTGGGAATTGAGTTGATGACAAAAAGAGTTGTTATTTCCTTGAAAAACTAGTTATTTGAGGTTGCCAGCGAGTTTAGGAAATGATCTTGTTCATATGGGGATCAATCCTATCATGAATTTCATTCAAATTTTAGCTATTGTAGGCTAAAGGGCTGATTGTTTTTTATAGGCCTTTGATCCTTTCATGTTGGGTAGCATTTTAGGATGTTCTAGCCTTTATGCACTCTTCTTACTAAATTGATCATATCTTAAGTTATATAACTCCAAATCATAATCTATTTAAAAATTTAGAAAGTATACTATATAACTCCAAATCATAATCTATTTAAAAATTTAGAAAGTATACTTAAGGAGCTTTCCATCAATATAAAATTAAACATCTTAATCAATGTATAAAAATTATAGCAAACTTTCACATCTATCCAGTATGTAGTTTTCAAACATCTTGCACAATTTTTAGTAAAATCACCATATCTTCACTTAAAAAATAGGGATTTTAATTTTGTTTAGTCCATTAAAAAGTATAATAAAAAAGCTTTCTAACAATGTATAGGTCAAATACTTAAACTTTATAAATCAATGCAGAAAATAAATCAGAATCAATGTTACAAAAAATTTATTCTTATAAAATAATTTTCTCTAGTTAATTTATTTCTTAAACTTAATATTATCAAAATTATATAGAGTTTAAGATAAATAAATATATACAAACAATTAAAACTATTCCTACTTATAATTTATATAGCCACATCAAAATTGTCTTAAAAAATTATTTGAAGGGTACTTTTAGAGCTAATGCTTATATTTGAGGATAAATTGTCTTTGTCATATATTAAAAGTTTCCAACCCTTTTTTTTTATTAAAATAAAATAAAAAATAAATATAATATAAATTTATAAAAACAAAAAAATAAAAATTTAATTACTTTTCCTTTTTTTTCTTTTTTAAATATTATTACAAAAAATTTATATTTTATAATAAATTGAAAATTATGTATGATCAAGTGATTCATAAAAAACACAATGCTCATAATGTAGCATAAAAATTAACAAAAAATGTGCTTACAATATATGAAATATAATATATATTAAGTTTAATTATTTTTATCAAAATATATGAAATATTACACATAGCATAGCAACAAAAACTAACAAAATTTTTTCTCCTTTTTTTTGTTTAATATCTAAACACTTATATGTGTTCAATGCATTTTTATTATACTCCTGTAACAAAGCATGAGCTTTTATCTAATTTACTTTAGATTTTTATTTAAATTCAAATAAATAATTTTTAAAGAATATTTTTAGTTTGAAAAATAAAAAATATAAACAAAAATTTCTTTTAACTTAAAAATATTTTTTAATTAGTTTTCAATCTTAAAAGTTTGTGTTAAGATAAAATTAAAACCAAACTTCTAGAATACTTTTTAAAAATATTTTAAAATCAAATAACAATTTTGAAAGAAATGATACTTATTTAATATCTAAAATAATAAAACTTAAGCTTGATACTAAATAAATTTTTTAAAAAATTTTAATTAAACTTATTTAATTTAATACTTCATTATTTCACAATAAAAATCAATTCAAAATTAATAATATCCTACTACCCCAAACTTTACACATATTCCACAACTACAGCATTTTTTGTACGAAGAAAGAAATCTATGAGAAGAAGAATTCTTTCTATGGATCAATTTACTTGGCCAAATCATCAATTTTGGTATAAAAGTATAAATTATATTAAATTCTAAAAGGATAAATTATGTAATAATATCCTCTATTAAAGTCAAAATAAAAAACACTTAACCCTCTCAAAATGAAATTTGAACTTAAGATTTAAATATTTTAAAATTTTCTCCTTACCATTAAAATAATTTAATCATTGGCTATAAAATTTTATATTAATAAAACGTATATATGACAAACAATTGGTTATTGTGTCCATGACATTAAAAAATTCGCACTTCATTTTCAAGTGAGTAGGGCATTTTGTGTTTATCTAAGTTCTACATATATAAGGGATACACAACAATATTTAAAAGAAATAAAAGATAAGATCAAAATATACATAAGTAAAGTACAGCTCATTCATTTGAGGAAAAAGAAGAAGCAATATTGGTATATATTCCTTATATAGATCTATAACAAGTTTTCATATAAATTTTAGTGTACATACCTTTATTCCCAAAAAAAAAAAAAAAGAAAAAATCAAGTACCTCTTGCTAAAAGAATTAAAGTTAAAATACTAAAAAAAACCTTTATACTTTTATTTTAAATGAGTTTTTATATTTTTATTGTGCCAAAATGAGTTTTTATATTTTGATTTGATTCAAATAAATCCTTATTTCAAATAAAAGATTGATTTATATTAATGGTTTATTTAGGTATAAATTAAAAGCTTAAAAATTTATTTGGATATAAGTAAAGTTAAAAACTTATTTGGATTCAAATTAAAAATTAAAAACTTATTTGAATGTAATAAAAATATAAAAACTAATTTAAATAAAGTTATAAAGTTCAAAGGTTTTTTTTTATTATTTTAGCTTGAAATAAAATGCAACATTGATTATGACTCGAATTTAAAATAAAATTTATTATAATTCATACAATAAAACACATGCATAAACAACTTTTTTATGATTATTTTTAATTTCATGAATTTGTTGGATCTCTATTTAATTGTGAATTTGAAATATTTATATAAATTTATGTGTATTTCATCCTTCTAATTTATATAACAAATAAAGTTAAAATTTTTCAAATTCATATTCCCAAACATGACAAAGTAATTGTAAGTTATTTGTACAAAATATGTAAAATCTTCTTCAGTTTACATTTCTCCACCTGACAACAAATAATATAAAATATGAAATTAAACTTTATTAAATTTTGGGGGCCAATTACAAATTCTTGGTCTCAATTTTATGGCAAATTTCTAGGAACTTTGGATAGGACCTTGCTTCCTTCTATTTGACCAATTATTCATTTGGTCAAAAGTAAAAAGCAACATCAATTATGCCTTGAATTTAAAATAAAATTTGTTTTTAATTTTATATAATTTTACGATAAAATCGAAACAAGAACATGATTTTTATGATTATTTTTAATTTATCGAATTTGTTCAATCTCTATTTAATAGTGAATTTGAAATACTTATATGAATTTATATGCATTTCATAGTTGCAATTTATATAACAAATAAAATTAAAATTTTTCAAATTCACATTCCCAAACATACAAACCAATTGCTAATTATTTGTACAAAAAATGTAAAATCTTCTTAAGTTTACCTTTTTCCACTTGACAAAAAATTATATATAAATTGTGAAATTAAACTTTTATTAAATTTCTGAGGCCAAGTTACAAATCCATGGTCTCAATTTGTAAGGCAAATTTCTAGGAACTTTGGATTGGACCATTGGCTCCTTCAATTTGATGAATTTATTTATTTGACTAATCAAAAACAGCACAATCTAAACACTATCTCTTAGATATTGCAGTGACTTAGTTCTTGGTGGCACATGTCTTTGAGCAAGAATCAACGCAACTTTCAACTTTTCCTTCACCTAATAAGGAAATAAAGAAAAGAAAAGAAAAACCTTGATCAGTTTATGCTCGTTTGTGTCTTTCTATATATGTATATATATGTGTGTAAAGTATGAAACAGTTAAGACAAAGTATGAAATGGTTATTGCACATCTTCATAAATTATTTTAATTTAAATCATGTTTTATAATTATATTATTTGAAAAAATCAATAATTTATGACATATCACATGTATGAATTTGTTAAAATAAATATTCACCATTTAATTATCACATATGATATATAATAAATAAATAATTTTTTTAATAATATGATTATGCGACATGATTTTATGAAAAAATATATATACTGATATGAAGTAACCATTTCATTTAAATTTTTTTATTTAAAAGGATATATGAGAAAGTAGATTTACCAGGATCTTGTTTGGAGCTGAGACTTGTGCACATGGAAGTAGAACAACCAAGCTTGCAGAAATATTGTGTGTCTTGGACGTTGCCAAAAGGAGAGTTACATTTCTCGAGGCACTGGTAGAGCAAGAGATCGATGAATTTCCTGGCGGTAGTATACACAAAACGAAGCAAATCCTGTAGACAGCGTTTATGGAAAGAAGCTGTGAGTGCCCTATTAGAAGACTAAAACACCAAAACAAACCATCAACACTGATCCCATTCCTCTTTCCCCCATATTTTTTCATTCCCTTCCTTTCCAACTAGAAAGCGTAGATAGAAATTATGTGATGAATAGACAAAAATCTTGGTTGCCCTATCTTAGGTTCTCTAAGAGAGGTTTATATAGACTTTAAAAATTATAAGTCTATTTTTTATACACTAGTGTGTGGTCGCCCACTATGTTAGGGATTAATAATTTTCTATTTTAAATATAAATTATTTAATTTTTTTATTTAATAGCAAGGGTATTTTAGTAATGTAATATGTGGTTAATTTTATATTATTTTAAAATTTAATATGTAATTTAATAAAAACATTATAGTAATTTTAAAAACAAAAATGTCACATGTCAATTTTTTATGAAAGCACTTATAAGAGCATTTACATAATTATGGTATAAGGGGCATCATAGTAATTTTGGTTAATTATGGTAGGAAAAACATTTTCGTAAGTATGGTATGAGAGGTATTATAGTAATTTGGGCCAAATATGGTAGATAAGGTATTTTGTAATTATGGTAAAATGGCTTCATAGTAATTTTGATCAATTATAATAGGAAGGCATTTTTGTAATTATGGTAGGAAGGCATTATAATAATTTTGATATAATGTCAAATAAACTAATGGATATTATAGTAATTATCAAAGAGATTGTTTTGATATATGCTATTGATTTTAAAAGAAATTATCACATGTAAACTTCATGTTAAGCATTTATAAGGGCATTTTTGTAATTACGATGGGAAGTGTAATATAGTAATTTTGATCAATTATGAGAGAAAGGTGTTTCTATAATTATGGTAAGATGATATTATAGTAATTTTGATCAATATTACAGTAATATATATGTATTTCATTGTTGCAATTTATATAACAAATAAAATTAAAATTTTTCAAATTCACATTCCCAAACATAACAAAGTAATTGTTAATTATTTGTACAAAAAATGTAAAATCTTCTTAAGTTTACCTTTTTCCACTTGACAAAAAATTATATATAAATTGTGAAATTAAACTTTTATTAAATTTGTGAGGCCAAGTTACAAATCCATGGTCTCAATTTGTAAGGCAAATTTCTAGGAACTTTGGATTGGACCCTTGGCTCCTTCAATTTGATCAATTTATTTATTTGACTAATCAAAAACATCACAATCTAAATACTATCTCTTAGATATTGCAGTGACTTAGTTCTTGGTGACGCATGTCTTTGAGCAAGAATCAACGCAACTTTCAACTCTTCCTTCACCTAATAAGGAAATAAAGAAAAGAAAAGAAAAACCTTGATCAGTTTATGCTCGTTTGTGTCTTTCTATATATATATGTGTGTGTAAAGTATGAAACAGTTAAGACAAAGTATGAAATGGTTATTGCACATCTTCATATATTATTTTAATTTAAATCATGTTTTATAATTATATTATTTGAAAAAATCAATAATTTATGACATATCACATGTATGAATTTGTTAAAATAAATATTCACAATTTAATTATCACATATGATATATAATAAATAAATAATTTTTTTAATAATATGATTATGCGACATGATTTTATGAAAAAATATATATATTGATATGAAGTAACCATTTCATTTAAATTTTTTTATTTAAAAGGATATATGAGAAAGTAGATTTACCAGGATCTTGTTTGGAGCTGAGACTTGTGCACATGGAAGTAGAACAACCAAGCTTGCAGAAGTATTGTGTGTCTTGGACATTGCCAAAAGGAGAGTTACATTTCTCGAGGCACTTGGTAGAGCAAGAGAGCGATGAATTTCCTGGGGTAGTAATACACAAAACGAAGCAATCCTTGTAGCAGCTTTGGAAAGAAGCTGTGGATTGCCCTATTAGAAGACCTAACACCAAACAAACCATCAACACTGACCCCATTCCTCTTTCCCCCATATTTTTCTTCCCTTTCCTTTTCCAAACTAGAAGGTAGATAGAAATTTATGTGTGAATAGACAAAAATCTTGGCTGCTATTTGGGTTCTCTAAGAGAGGTTTATATAGACTTTAAATTATAGGTCTATTTTTTATGCACTAGTGTGTGGTCCCCATTATGTTAGGGATTAAATAATTCTCTATTTTAAATATAAATTATTTAATTTTTTTTTATTTTAATAGCAAGGGTGTTTTAGTAATGTAATATGTGGTTAATTTTATATTATGTTAAAATTTAATATGTAATTTAATAAAAACATTATAGTAATTTTAAAACAAAATGTCACATGTCAATTTTTTATGAAAGCACTTATAAGAGCATTTACATAATTATGGTATAAGGGGCATCATAGTAATTTTGGTTAATTATGGTAGGAAAAACATTTTCGTAAGTATGGTATGAGAGGTATTATAGTAATTTGGGCCAAATATGGTAGATAAGGTATTTTGTAATTATGGTAAAATGGCTTCATAGTAATTTTGATCAATTATAATAGGAAGGCATTTTTGTAATTATGGTAGGAAAGCATTATAATAATTTTGATATAATGTCAAATAAACTAATGGATATTATAGTAATTATCAAAGAGATTGTTTTGATATATGCTATTGATTTTAAAAGAAATTATCACATGTAAACTTCCTGTTAAGCATTTATACGGGCATTTTTGTAATTACGATAGGAAGTGTAATATAGTAATTTTGATCAATTATGAGAGAAAGGTCTTTCTATAATTATGGTAAGATGATATTATAGTAATTTTGATCAATATTACAGTAATATATATGTATTTCATTGTTGCAATTTATATAACAAATAAAATTAAAATTTTTCAAATTCACATTCCCAAACATAACAAAGTAATTGTTAATTATTTGTACAAAAAATGTAAAATCTTCTTAAGTTTACCCTTTTCCACTTGACAAAAAATTATATATAAATTGTGAAATTAAACTTTTATTAAATTTGTGAGGCCAAGTTACAAATCCATGGTCTCAATTTGTAAGGCAAATTTCTAGGAACTTTGGATTGGACCCTTGGCTCCTTCAATTTGATCAATTTATTTATTTGACTAATCGAAAACATCACAATCTAAATACTGTCTCTTAGTTATTGCAGTGACTTAGTTCTTGGTGACGCATGTCTTTGAGCAAGAATCAACGCAACTTTCAACTCTTCCTTCACCTAATAAGGAAATAAAGAAAAGAAAAGAAAAACCTTGATCAGTTTATGCTCGTTTGTGTCTTTCTATATATATACATATATGTGTGTGTGTGTGTGTAAAGTATGAAACAGTTAAGACAAAGTATGAAATGGATATTGCACATCTTCATATATTATTTTAATTTAAATCATGTTTTATAATTATATTATTTGAAAAAATCAATAATTTATGACATATCACATGTATGAATTTGTTAAAATAAATATTCACAATTTAATTATCACATATGATATATAATAAATAAATAATTTTTTAATAATATGATTATGCGACATGATTTTATGAAAAAATATATATATTGATATGAAGTAACCATTTCATTTAAATTTTTTTATTTAAAAGGATATATGAGAAAGTAGATTTACCAGGATCTTGTTTGGAGCTGAGACTTGTGCACATGGAAGTAGAACAACCAAGCTTGCAGAAGTATTGTGTGTCTTGGACGTTGCCAAAAGGAGAGTTACATTTCTCGAGGCACTTGGTAGAGCAAGAGAGCGATGAATTTCCTGGGGTAGTAATACACAAAACGAAGCAATCCTTGTAGCAGCTTTGGAAAGAAGCTGTGGATTGCCCTATTAGAAGACCTAACACCAAACAAACCATCAACACTGACCCCATTCCTCTTTCCCCCATATTTTTCTTCCCTTTCCTTTTCCAAACTAAAAGGTAGATAGAAATTTATGTGTGAATAGACAAAAGTCTTGGTTGCTCTTTGGGTTCTCTAAGAGAGGTTTATATAGACTTTAAATTATAGGTCTATTTTTTATACACTAGTGTGTGGTCCCCACTATGTTAGGGATTAAATAATTTTCTATTTTAAATATAAATTATTTAATTTTTTTTATTTTAATAGCAAGGGTATTTTGGTAATGTAATATGTGGTTAATTTTATATTATGTTAAAATTTAATATGTAATTTAATAATGACATTATTTTAATTTTAAAACAAAATGTCACATGTAAATTTTTTATGAAGCACTTATAAGAGCATTTACATAATTATGGTATAAGGGGCATCATAGTTATTTTGGTTAATTATGGTAGGAAAAACATTTTCGTAAGTATGGTATGAGAGGTATTATAGTAATTTTGGCCAAATATGGTAGATAAGGTATTTTGTAATTATGGTAAAATGGCTTCATAGTAATTTTGATCAATTATAATAGGAAGGCATTTTTGTAATTATGGTAGGAAGGCATTATAATAATTTTGATATAATGTCAAATAAACTAATGGATATTATAGTAATTATCAAAGAGATTGTTTTGATATATGCTATTGATTTTAAAAGAAATTATCACATGTAAACTTCCTGTTAAGCATTTATACGGGCATTTTTGTAATTACGATAGGAAGTGTAATATAGTAATTTTGATCAATTATGAGAGAAAGGTGTTTGTATAATTATGGTAAGATGATATTATAGTAATTTTGATCAATATTACAGTAATATATATGTATTTCATTGTTGCAATTTATATAACAAATAAAATTAAAATTTTTCAAATTCACATTCCCAAACATAACAAAGTAATTGTTAATTATTTATACAAAAAATTTAAAATCTTCTTAAGTTTACCTTTTTCCACTTGACAAAAAATTATATATAAATTGTGAAATTAAACTTTTATTAAATTTGTGAGGCCAAGTTACAAATCCATGGTCTCAATTTGTAAGGCAAATTTCTAGGAACTTTGGATTGGACCCTTGGCTCCTTCAATTTGATCAATTTATTTATTTGACTAATCAAAAACATCACAATCTAAATACTATCTCTTAGATATTGCAGTGACTTAGTTCTTGGTGACGCATGTCTTTGAGCAAGAATCAACGCAACTTTCAACTCTTCCTTCACCTAATAAGGAAATAAAGAAAAGAAAAGAAAAACCTTGATCAGTTTATGCTCGTTTGTGTCTTTCTATATATATACATATATGTGTGTGTGTGTGTAAAGTATGAAACAGTTAAGACAAAGTATGAAATGGTTATTGCACATCTTCATATATTATTTTAATTTAAATCATGTTTTATAATTATATTATTTGAAAAAATCAATAATTTATGACATATCACATGTATGAATTTGTTAAAATAAATATTCACAATTTAATTATCACATATGATATATAATAAATAAATAATTTTTTAATAATATGATTATGCGACATGATTTTATGAAAAAATATATATATTGATATGAAGTAACCATTTCATTTAAATTTTTTTATTTAAAAGGATATATGAGAAAGTAGATTTACCAGGATCTTGTTTGGAGCTGAGACTTGTGCACATGGAAGTAGAACAACCAAGCTTGCAGAAGTATTGTGTGTCTTGGACGTTGCCAAAAGGAGAGTTACATTTCTCGAGGCACTTGGTAGAGCAAGAGAGCGATGAATTTCCTGGGGTAGTAATACACAAAACGAAGCAATCCTTGTAGCAGCTTTGGAAAGAAGCTGTGGATTGCCCTATTAGAAGACCTAACACCAAACAAACCATCAACACTGACCCCATTCCTCTTTCCCCCATATTTTTCTTCCCTTTCCTTTTCCAAACTAAAAGGTAGATAGAAATTTATGTGTGAATAGACAAAAGTCTTGGTTGCTCTTTGGGTTCTCTAAGAGAGGTTTATATAGACTTTAAATTATAGGTCTATTTTTTATCCACTAGTGTGTGGTCCCTACTATGTTAGGGATTAAATAATTTTCTATTTTAAATATAAATTATTTAATTTTTTTTATTTTAATAGCAAGGGTATTTTGTAATGTAATATGTGGTTAATTTTATATTATGTTAAAATTTAATATGTAATTTAATAATGACATTATTTTAATTTTAAAACAAAATGTCACATGTAAATTTTTTATGAAGCACTTATAAGAGCATTTACATAATTATGGTATAAGGGGCATCATAGTTATTTTGGTTAATTATGGTAGGAAAAACATTTTCGTAAGTATGGTATGAGAGGTATTATAGTAATTTTGGCCAAATATGGTAGATAAGGTATTTTGTAATTATGGTAAAATGGCTTCATAGTAATTTTGATCAATTATAATAGGAAGGCATTTTTGTAATTATGGTAGGAAGGCATTGTAATAATTTTGATATAATGTCAAATAAACTAATGGATATTATAGTAATTATCAAAGAGATTGTTTTAATATATGTTATTGATTTTAAAAGAAATTATCGCATGTAAACTTCCTGTTAAGCATTTATAAGGGAATTTTTGTAATTATGGTAGGAAGTGTAATATAGTAATTTTGATCAATTATGAGAGAAAGGTGTTTCTATAATTATGGTAAGAGGATATTATAGTAATTTTGATCAATAATAAAAGAATGAGTATTTTCGTAATTCAATAATAAGTGAATGGTATTTTTGTAATTATGATATAAAGATATTATAGTAAATAATTTGTATTTCCCTAATTATAATATAAGAGCATAATAGTCAATTTATAAGAAAGGATATTTTTGTAATTATGATGAGCGCAAAATAATTAGTTTGGATATGTCTGATTGTCTTATCAAATAATAGGAAGGGTAATTTTATAATTTCATTAAGGATTTGTTTTAGTATATGTATAAATTTGTGATCATGGGTTATATATTATCACTGTATTTGATAGGACAAAAAGAATAGAGAAGAATAGAATATGGATGGAAAAACTATTTTCATACTATCATTTCTTTAGTTTGATAAGAAGAAAAAAACAAAAGAAGGAAAATAAGTGAATTTGCATATTCTCTTTTTTCTTCTAAGTCTAACCCTTTCAAATTTGAAAGGAAAATACTTATTTAACTTAAATTGATGATTT